TCAATTTGGCGTAATGTAAATATAGTTTTCGGAAATATTAAATTTAATTACAATTCTAATAATATAGGTAATTATCGAAGTAATCAAAGACACATATAGATATGTGTATATTATATCATTTTTTATAGTCATTTATAAAAATTATATGTATTATAAAAATTGTATGTATAAATTATATATAATTTTTATAAATGGTTATTTTACATTCTTCACTTCTTACTCGTCCTCCTCTTCTTAGGCTAAAAGTCCAAAATGAAATAGTAATTAGTTCGTCAATTAATTTCACGAAGAGCTATGAGCCAATTAAAATTTTAATATGTTTAATATTCGTATAGACGTTTCGATACCGATCGGATAATTTTCAATGTAAAAACTAATATAGATTTATATGTACCATATGTTTCAATTTTTCTAATTGTATTCCATGATTTGCAGCTTATAGAAGGTTACGTGACAAGAATCGAAAATATATACAATACATTTGTGATACTTGCATTATTAGAAAGCTGTCCCATATATATACTCTGAAAAGTATGTGATATAGACCAAAAATATCATTACAATGAAAAGATCAGGCCATGTGCAAAAATATAAGCAGATCTTCAAAAAAATGTAAACTTTTAAAAATTGAAATTACTATGTAACAATATATATTACTATGAAAAGTAACTGATATATTATTCAAAGTCCCAGTTCAAGGTAAACATACATAAAGCGTATTCTCCAAAATGTAAAGCTTTAAAAATTTACATTTTTATCTGATAATATATTATCTAACAATATACATATAAAAATTGAAATTATGTAACAATATATATTACCATGAAAAGTAACTGATATATTATTCAAAGTCCCAGTTCAAGGTGAACATACATAAAGTATATTCTCAAAAATGTAAAGCTTTAAGAATTTAAATGATTATCTGATAATATATTACCATAAAAAGTATTTGATACATTATCAAAGGTGCCAGTTTAAAACGAACATACATATAAAAACTGAAGAAGAAGACAGATAATAAGTAGATGGCGGCGATGCGGCGCGTTCTTTGCCACGTGTAACGTTCCGACTGATATAAAATTTCCAGTACTTTTATTAGCAACACGGTCTTTTTATTTATGATATACAATTCCACTTACTTGATTAGCAACAATTGGCGACCGTGTATTATCGTTGCTAACCATCCGCAAGAAAAAGAGCGTGAGAAGTTAAGTTATCAATCACAATGGATAAGCTGAAATCGTCACAGAAGATTATTCGCAGCTCATTTACAAAGGCATATAACGTTTTTCAAGATGAGATGCAAAGACCATCACCGAATCTAACCAAGTTACAGACACAGTTTGCATTAATTCGGGATAAAGCAATCGAACTCACCGAATTAAGTCACAAGATACGAGATGGGATGATCAGCGCCAACGAACAAGAGGAAACCCTTACGAAAGAACTGGAAATCGCAGATGAATATGCCACAAAATATCATCAAGCAAAGATCGAGTTAAATGATATTATGGAAGTAAAAGCAACGCCAACACCATCCTCACAGCCAGCAATAGTAACTTATCAGGAAAGTATTCGCACATTAAAACTTCCTAAAATAGAGTTAAGAAAATTTGGGGGCGAAATTAAGGACTGGCTCTCATTCTGGAGCACATTCCAAAAAATTCATGAAGACGCAACATTTTCAAGAGAAGACAAATTTCATTATCTTTTGCAATCTACAGTCAAAGATTCGCGAGCATTCGAGGTAGTCAATAGTTTCCCCCCCACCGCAGACAATTATGAAAAGGCCATAGACAGTCTAAAATCTCGTTTTGGTAAAAAAGACTTACTCATAGAATTTTATGTGCGAGAACTACTGAAATTAGTTTTGAACAAAAACAAGAATATTTCACTAATTTCCATCTATGATAAGTTAGAGACACATTTAAGAGCGCTCGAATCATTAGGCGTAACAACAGATATGTGCGCGGCCATGTTATTTCCGTTAGTCGAGTCTTCGTTGCCGGAAGAAATTCTAAGAACCTGGCAACGAGCAATAACTACAAGAGATGTTTCAGCCACAAATATTACTGCAAAAGATCGTCTTATGCATTTAATGGCATTTTTAGGAAAAGAAGTGGAAAGCGAAGAACGCATCCATATGGCTAAGACATGCTTTGAAACAACTAACGATCCAGCGAAGAATAAAAAGAAAACAAAAAGTGACAAAGATCAAGATATCGTCACAGCAGCCGGATTATTAACAATGAAGGAAACAAGCCCGCCAAAATGTTTGTTTTGCGAAGAAAGTCATGACAGTCTACACTGCAAAAAAGCCAGGAGCATGTCCATGGAACAGCGAGTCACTTTAATCAAGAATAAACACGGTTGTTTCAAATGTTTACGAATAGGACATAGCTACATAAAATGTCGCAGTAAGCAAAAATGTTCTTGGTGTGGAAAAGGGCATTGTCTGCTGTTATGCAGAAATTTAGTCAATAGCGACGAAAAATCAAACAAAAACACACAAAAAGAATCAAATGAGTCAGGTTTTAATGAAGTAAGTACTAGTCTTGCTAACATAAATTTGAATACAAAAGTATTTCTACCCTTGTTAAAAGTCAGATTGCGAGGTCCCACAGGTACGATAAACGTACGAGCTATTATTGACACTGGTTCTCACAAGTCTTACATTTTAAGCCGAGGAGCAGAAGAAGTAGGTTATAAAATCATAGGAGAACAAACCATGATACATTTGTTATTCGGAGGAGCCAGAACCAAACCTAAAAATCATCAGGCATATCGGATTTATTTAGAGCACCTCGATGGTTCGTACAAGTGCGATTTTATCGCTTTTCAGCAACAAATTATATGTCTCAACACCCCCAAGTCAAACTGTAAGCTATGGAAGGACACGCTTGAAAACAATAAGGTACAACTGTCCGATAACAGGGAAGGCGACGAATTTATCACGATATTAATAGGAGCAGACGTTGCCGGCAGATTATTTACCGGAAAGATCCTTCAGGTAGATGATAATGTAACAGCTATTGAAACGAAGCTTGGTTGGACTTTAATGGGCAAAAACTTAATTGACAATACCAAAGAAGATACAACTTTAATGATCATATCCATGATGGCAGAGAACGGCGAAGTGTCAAACCTGTGGAAACTGGATACGTTAGGAATTATAGATCCTATAGAAAGCGAAACCAAAGAGGTACGTCAAGAAGTAAAAACCTTGTTTCGAAATACAACTAAGATTAACGATGAAGGACGCTATGAGGTTCTATTACCTTGGAAAGTAAATCATCCAGTGCTGCAAGACAATAGAGAAATAGCTGAGAAGAGATTAAAATCAAGTACGAAGAAACTACGTCAAGAAAACTTATATGAAGATTACGAAGCAGTCTTCAATGATTGGCTATCTGAAGGCATTATCGAGAGAGTTCCAGAAAGTGAGGTCGGAGACAGAGGCTACTATCTTCCTCACAGGCATGTCGTCAAAGAGAAAAGTACGACCAGAATTAGACCAGGTTTTGATGCTTCAGCGAAAACAAAAACCTCACCATCGTTAAATCAATGTTTAGAAACTGGCCCCAATTTACTTGAGCTTATTCCAGCTATATTACATCGATTCCGGGAAAGGAAGATAGGAGTAACAGCAGACATCGCAAAAGCTTTTCTTCAGATAAGTATTACACAGTCAGATAGAGATGTCCTGAGATTTCTGTGGTGGGATACTCAAGGAAATATCATAACATACAGACATCGTAGAGTAGTCTTTGGTGTATCAAGTAGCCCTTTTTTATTAGCAGGAACTATTGAGTTACATATTGAACGAAGCTCCAATACTACCAACTCAACAACCAGAGAAGCAATCTGTAAAAAACTCGCGAAATCATTTTATGTGGATGATTGTATTACAAGCGTCGATTCACATGCTGACTTACAAACATTCCAAAAAGAGGCTACTTCTCTAATGAACGAAGCGAAGTAGATTTAAGAAAATGGAGGTACACTGATATGAAGAGCCAATATGAATACACTACAGTACTTGGTCTTCTGTGGGACACTGAAAGAGATACTTTGGCATTGGCAGGATTCCTATCGAATACAATACCAGAAAAAATTACGAAGAGAGTTGTACTTTCAGCAACGTGCAGAGTGTTTGACCCATTAGGATTCATCTGCCCGGTGTTACTTAAACCAAAATTAATGTTGCGACGTTTATGGGATCAACAACTGGACTGGGACACAGAAATTGATCACGACAACAAGAGAGAATTTCTCGAGTGGATACAACAATTGAATCTGCTTCGAATCTTGAGACAATTCCGCACCAAACATTGACTTTCCAGATACGTTGATGATCGATTTCTCGATACCAATGTGGATTCTCTTGCGCTCAATAACGGAAATTATGTGTGTTTACTTCGCCGTCACTTTTGAAGGTGCACTCATTATAAAACAAGATACTTCTATGGAAAATAGGTAATTGTTGAGTAATCCAATTACAGAATATCAGTCTTTGTCTATGATCGTCCAATGTCATGGCCTGGTGAAGTGACATTCGATATGGATGAAATGAATTTTCTCGCAAAATTCTACTGATAGTGCTTCTACTTATTCCACTATCTCTTTCTCGTCTTCTTAAAGAATCGGTAGGATTTACAAGAGCAGAAGCAATTATATCAGGTGCCCGTACTGCACGAAGCGGACGATGAATTTGCATTCCTTTATTATAATCCGGTTGGACGATACCTTTTTGAATTATCCGCCGTTGTAAACGAATGAAAACATTGCGCGAATGCGGTGTACGATCGGGATATTCATTTCGCCACATTCTTTGTGTGGAATAAGTAGAAGCACTATCAGTAGAATTTTGCGAGAAAATT